CTTCGCCATATTAACACGGTATTGATTACATGACTTTCTGCATTTTTAATCCACAAAGTATCAATCGATCTTTTACGCGCTATTATAAAATAATATAAAATAAAGAAAATCCAAAGGGTACAAGAATCTTCTACAATACTAGGCCATCATCTTTGCTATATATAAAACCTGTCTGCAACTAGCTGAAGCATCAATCAGGTGCATTTAATTGCTATTACTATCCAAAACCAGGCAGCTGGTTTCTATTAAGGACCAAGTATTTACAATAAGATTTCACTGGAATTGATAAAGTTTGGTTCTTGTTCTTGTTTATTTGGCAGGAACAGATATAACAACAAAGCTCAAGTGGTCACAGTAGCTAGAGTAGTGGGTAAGCCCATATAGTTTATTCTCCACCGTTCTCTAATGTTCTCTAGTTACGTGATGATAGTATTGATATTCTTTTTCTTCTTGAGTTAGTTTAGTTAATACATATACTCTCGTTTTTACTCGTTTGGGACTCAATTCTTACCGCTCCTCATCTTCTGTTCTGCCTTTTTCTATTTTTTATATAGTTTTGATGTGGCTGGACATATTTGCAATATACGCCATGTACATAATGATGACATACTTGACCGACGTTTGGGACCTCGGCTTCACGCATGCAGTTGCAATCGTGAATGTCTTTTGGGGGTGTCGTCTTGTTATCCCCGCTGCTCCTGACTGCTCCTGACGTGTGAGGACTCACGTATGGAGTATACCTCACCTTCCTTGTCACGTGACAGTGGTGTTTCGGTGCCCACTATTTCACATGCCTCTTCGTCATAAAGTACTTCCCTCACCCGAAAGTTCACTAGTTTCGGTTCTAGCATTACGTCATCCAAGAAGGACTTTATGATGCAGAGGCAGGTGAAATAGTGGGCACCGAAACAGCACTGTCACGTGACGAGGAAGGTGAAGTTATACTCCATACTGGATGCTTCTTCTCTCCAGATCTTACAGTGTGGTAAAACAAAATCTGATACCGACCCTGCTCTGAAGATCAACTCTTTTTTTAAAAAAAAAATAATTATTATTTTGGTGTTAAGGGACTGGGACTTTTGACAATGTCGACCCCACCGGTGCTGGCAAACCGCACAGGCACGTGCAGAGAGTAAGAGTACAGACCCGAATGCATTGGCCATGTCCAAAAAGTGCTTTTCTACACGGCTATGCCCCTAATAGCTTTTGGAATGGCCGGGCACTTGACTTCTTTGACCTCGTTCATTAATGAACAGTTCAGTGGGGAGGAGCTTGACGGGAGCTCGTTCTGGAGATTCTTTTACAGCGTCTTGGCAATTGTAATCGTCACTTCTGTTGTCGTGTGGGGACTTCCCTACATAAAGCCATAGTCCCTCCGATTCGGGATCCCGGCTATATGCACTCTGGTTGCCACTCTCTTGTTTTGTAGTGGCTCGTGCTCGTATAAGTATTTTAGGCCGCCCGGAAGCTCTTTCACTTTGTTTTTCCAAGTGTTTGTGGCTGCCTTTTTGGAAATCTCTCATAAAAGCCCGAGGGATGCTAAAGAACTGTTTGAGTTCACTAATCCTGAGTTTTGTAAGGCACCCCACACGAGGAGCCTGAGGTTCGCGTCTCTTTCTCTATCTCAATTCTCAAAAAGCTTTATACACACGATGTTAGGATTTGTTGAAAAATCCTTCTGTTAGAAAAAGTGATTTGTAGTAATAATTTGAATTTAAGAGTCGTATGCTAATTAAAAGATGATATTTTTCATGGGTACAAAGAAATCGCCTTACACAACAATACAAAGGAAGAGTTAAAAAATAAAAAATGACATCTGTAAAATAACATTTTTTTTTTTTTTTTTCATTTGATATGCAGATGTTTGGACAAGGCAGCTACAATAATACCCACAATACCCCTCGAAGAACAAGCAAATAAGATATGGAGACTCTGCAGGTAGCCGAAGTCGAGGAGACCAAAACCATCATCCGCATGATCCCCGTCTGGACCACCTTCATCCTATGTGGCATCCTCATATCCCTTGGATTCACCTTCTTCATCAAGCAGCTGGACCATCTCGACCACAAAGTCGGCCGCCTAACCGTCCCTACACCACTCCTCTTCTTCTTCTGGCAATCCCAAAACCTATCCGTCAAACTCTACGACAAGCTCTATTCCTAAATCTCCAACTTCTCCATTATTTCGGGCTCCGGAAAATTCGCCCCATCTTTCGGAATCGCAATATCAACTTTGCTCGGGACACTCTGTTGCATAACGGCCGCCAAGGTGGAAAACCGGAGGCTGGGCGTGGTCCGTGAGCAAGGGCTAAGAGACGAGCCGGACGAGAAAGTGCCCATGACCATGTTCTGGCTTCTGCCGCAAGTTTTCCTGCTCGGCTCTTTCAGTGGAGTTTTCAGTTGCAATGCTTTTTCGTGGACCAGTTGACCGTTTTGACTCAGAGGTATTTACCGTTTTTTGTTACGGGTGTTTTTTGGGTCGGGATTGAGAGGCGTTTTGTCGGTGTACGTGGTGGGGAAGTGAGTGAGATGGGCAGGAAGAGGAATTGGTTCGGACACGATGTGAAAGGGAGTAGGGTCGATAAGTATTATTGGACATTGGCTTGGTTGATGGGGACCGACTTGGTTTTGTTTGTTTTGGTGTCGGTTTTTATCAGTATAATGAAGCCGAGTTAAGGGATCTTTCAGGGACCAAGTTTGAGGGGATTGATGAAGGGTTTGATGATAATACCAGCTGTTGTTGTTGTTGTTAGATGGGTTTGATGATAATACCAGATTTTGGTGATAGATGTTGAAAAAGTAGACTATGTAAGATGAAAAAGGGTGTGTTTTTGTGTTTGTGTGTGTTCTTAATTTAACATTATTATATGCATTACATGTTGAAAAGAAAACTTATAAAGTGGAAATTATATTTGTTTGTGAATTCGGCTGGAAATGTGGATTTTTATGTAATAATATTTTCCAACTTGACTCGTAGAGTATTGAGTTCGACAATTTTCTGGTGCATTGTTACCGGAAGCAAGTGTTTGTCAGTAGGGAGGGTGAGTTGGAGGTTTGGATGAAAATGAGGAGATTGAGAGTGAAGGGGTTTATAGGAGGAATTACATGGATGAAATCGAGGATTCAAGTCGAGGTTCTATCAAGAAAATAGAAGGTGGGTTAGAATAGGCTATTCGTGACTAGAGAAGATGTTGTGAAGGGATTGAAGTTTGGCAGAGCACGTGCAATTCTGGGGTCGTCTCGGTTTTTGTGGTCGGTAAAGACCGTCTGGATCATAATGTGAGTATTTGTTTGTTTTTTGGAGATTGGAAATTCATTTTTTCTTGATGATCACTTTAAGGAAATAGGTACAATCAGCTGCATTTAACTGCTGTTACTATCCAAAACCAGGAGGACCAGGTATTTACAACCAGGGTTTGAAGATAATACCAGATTTTGTTGTTAGATGTTGAGACAGTAGACTATGTAAAGGGTGTGTTTTTGTGTTTGTGTGTGTGTGTCCTTAAATCATCAGTAAGTTCTTTTGAGACCAAAGATTGTTTCTTAATTAGACCTTATTATATGCGTCACATGTTGAAAAGAAAAAATAGAAAGTGGACACTAGAACTGTTTTTTTTTTTTTTTTTTTTTTTTTTTTTTGTGAATTCGGCTCTAAAATAGGGATTTATTGTAATAGTCTCTAGTTCGACTCGTCAAGGATTGAGTTCACTTGTTAATATTGATAAATGAATCGAGCTCGGGCTCAGTTATCGGCTCAAGTGGATAAAGCCTCGAGCTCCTGTTCGAAAATCGGGATAAATTGGCAATACAGTTAGGAACACGACTTTTTTTTTAAGCTGTTCTTAGTCAAGAAAGAAAATTTAACTTGTTATAAATACTCAGATTTGAGGGAATTAACACTCTGTCTCGAGCCCACCGTGTCATAAAGGACAAGATGCAACTTGAAGGCCAAAATAATACGCAATAATTGCCATGAAAATGAAAAAAAAATAACACACAGCAGCCACAAAATAATACGCAATACTATTCTTGTTTTCTTTTTTCATGTGTTTTTTTGCCCCATTAGCTTAGCTAAAAACCTTAAAGTCAACTGGGTTTGCTCT